GAAAGAAAGTACGAGTAGCACCAAAAATTGCAACACAGGCGGGGAGGAGTGAACGAACGGTGCACAAGTTACGGAGAAGAGGAGCCCCCCCCCCCCCCCCCCCCCCCCCCCCCCCCGCCCCTGCCCTGCCCGCACACACAATCAACCCCGCCGTCGCCGCCACCAACATCCCCCTCTCCGGGTGCCGTTGCGCGTTGCCGCGCGCAGCTGTCGCCGCATGGACGGCTCCTCCATCATGGCCTCTGGCGGGGCGCCTTCCATGAGCCCGACGAGCCCCGTCAGCTCAAGGCATGGCGTCGCCCCCAAGCGCAAGAGGAGCACCGGCCTGACGACGGTCGAGAGCAGCCCTGGGAGCTTCGTCGATGAGAATCAGTGCGATGCCGACAAGAAACGCCAGCCCGGTGTCAAACGCGCCTGCAATGAATGTCGCCAGCAAAAGGTTGGTCACACTCGCACGCGCGCGCGCGCACGCACACACACACACACACACACACACACAAACAAACAAGCAAACACAGACGCAAACAGGGACACACGCTCCCGTGGATGCACTGTTACGGCCATTGCTAACGTTGCACTCACCTTGCTAGCTGCGCTGCGATGTCATCCAGGACCCCTTCCAGAGCTGCACGCGCTGCAGACGGCTGAAACTCGAATGCAAGATCGAGTCCAACTTTAAGCGCGTCGGGAAGCGTTCCAAGCATGCCGAGATGGAAAAGGAGATCGAGCGCCTCCGCCGCAGCGTCGCCCGGGCCAAGACGCAGGGTTTCGCTGCCCCCGACGACGACGACGACGAGCACATCATGTCTACCGCCCACAGCACACCGTACATGCACACGCGCAATCCCTCCCTCATGGGATCCGACGAGGCCGTCTCGTCCCTGCTGCACCTCAAGAGGGGAGGCGCCTACGCCGCTGCGCCGCAGTACGCCTACGACCTGGACGGCGTGCGTCTGACCGAGGACGACGTCAACCACCTCTTCAACGAGTACTTTGCCTTCTACCACCCCTTCCTACCCTTCCTGAGCCCGCACCAGGCCCCGGACCAGTACTACCAGCAGCACGCGCTTCTGTTCTGGACCATAGTCGCCGTGGCCGCCCGCCGCTACAGCCCGCCCAACGCCCCTGATCTGCTGAAGAACCTGTCGAGTCCGCTGACGAGGTTCCTGTGGACGACGATCGGCGAGGTCCCCAGCAGCTACTACGTGGTCAAGGCCATGTGCCTTCTGGGCGCGTGGCCGCTACCCACCAGCACCAGCACCTCGGACCCCACCCACATCCTCTGCGGCGTCATGATGAAGACGGCAACGGGCATCGGCCTCCACCGGCCGAACCACATCCAAGACTTCTCCCGCGTATCGGTCGAGCTCGACAGCGAGCAGCTCAACGACCGGGTGACCACCTGGGCCGTGTGCAACATTGTGGCGCAGAATATCGGCACAGGCTACGGCCAACCCGCCTCGACCCTGTACGACTGGACCCTCGCCGCCCGACCGGGCGACGACAATGCGCTCAAGCTGACCCCGGAGCTGGAGGCTCGGCTCCAGATCGAGCGATTCTGCGACAAGGTCTCCAAGGAGATGTACAGCAATGCTAGCGATCCCCGCGGCGTCGCAGGCGACGAGCACAGGGCCATGCTGATGCGCGTGTACCGGCGGGACTACGCCGAGCTCCACGCCAGCATCATGTCTCAACGGCTGGGACCGGTGGTGAACATCCACCTGCGTGCGGCCGCGCTCCACATGAGGCTGGCCGGCTTCTTCGACTCCAGCACGACGCCGGGATACATGGATGACCTCATGGGACTGTGGCGAGCCGCGTCGAGCTTCCTGGACGAGGTCCTCGGCCTGGAGAAGAACAAGGCGGCCGGTTCGCTGAAGCCCAGGGGCACGCTGCTGCAGTACACGACCAACTACATCCAGCAGATGCTCGTGGCGGCCGGCTTCACGATCCTCAAGCTCATCCGGTCCTTCTTCGCCAAGACGATCGACTTCCAGCGGGGCCGGACCCTCTTCCACTCGACGGTGGCCGCCATCCGCAGGACGAGTGTGGTGCACAACGACCTGCAGTGGCGGCTGGCGGAGCTGATGGTTCAGATGTGGAACGGCGCGCGCCTCGACACCGCCCACCACGCGGTGAATCCGCAGGACGACTCGCCCGTCAACGTCGACGACAGCCTGCAGCTCAAGGTCCGCTGCCGGCACAGCATGAGCCTGGTGTTCGACTCGGTGTGGCGTTGGCGGGAAGAGTACCAGGCCATAGGCCGGGGATCCCTCGAAGGTGAGCAGCAGCAGATGCCAGCACCCTCCCTCCCCCCCCGGTCCCCCGGCCAGAACATGCGTGGACGGTCCGGGACCGCTAGACCTGACGATGCTAACTCGGCAGAAGCAGCGCTCAAGCAGCCGACGAACCCCGATTCGGCCAACGAGTCGTCGTCCTCGTCCAGCCACCTCGACAGCACCCTGATGGCATCGCAGGGACTCACCTCTGGCGGGCTCAACTCGAACGGCACCCTGACGCCCGGCGGCGCCGGTGCGGTCTCGACCAGCTCGTCGGCAGCGCCTAGCGTGATGGGCAGCCTGAGCTACGGGGAGACAAACTACGACTTTTTCGACCCTCAGAACTGGATGCTCGACGGCCTCTTGGATTTCAACTATAACGCCTATGCGCAACCGTTGGAGGGAGCGTGAGGAGAGGTGGTGGTTGGAGGAACCGTTGGATACGCACATATACACTCTTCTTCTTTTCTTCTGTTCTGTTTCCAACCATGACGTCTGGTAAGCTAAGCTTGCATATAGTCTACATCGCCTACCGTCCAACCTCTCAACCCCTCTCTCTTCTTTCCATTCCTTGAAATGACAAGATGGGTTAGATTGAGATGTATCCTCTGATTCCTCCCTCCCCTCCATCCATATTTGGGATATTTCCATCCTTCTCTTCCTCCCCCCCCTCTAAAAAGAATCGTGCGATATCCCTTGCTTTCTTCTTCTTCTTCTTTCTTCGGGTCTTGGTCTTCTTCTTCTTCTTCTTCTTCTTCTTCTTCTTCTTCTTTCTCCTTCCCTTTCTGTGTATTTCGTTCTGCACGTCAAACAGCCCTGGTATCTTCCTCCTCTCTCTTTCTCTCTCTCTCTCTCTCTCTCCCTCTCCCTATCTCCCTCTTATCGTTCCAGGACTCTTAACGCCT